AATCGAAACGAATGGAGGCACACCTTTCTCTCGAGATTTTTCAAGCTATTTCGTGACCAAAAGAAAAATTATACTTTTAATACGAAGCAGTTTTTGGACTTTTAAGAATCCACCAGTGCAATATGTTTTTGAAGGTTTGAAATAGAATTAGCGCTACTTTTTATACAAAACCGCAACATGTTTTTCCTCTTTCCAGTGGTGAATAGTTTCCGCAACACCGATTGTTCATAAGTATCCGACGGATTTTTGTTTAAATTCGGTTTTTTCTTACAAAGAATCCACATTTATTATACTTACTCCAAACTAATAAGGTCTTTTTTCTTCCTTTTATTTCTAATTTTATTTCTATTTCTAACTGTTTGTCTGATTTGATTAGTTAGAGACATAGTTGGGTATTATTATAGTAATTTTATATAGTACACGTGTCGTTTTCAGAAAGTTCGATTCCAAAAGATCACAATCGAAACGGTTTCCGGCAGGGAAATTTATTGACACTAAGCTCGCATTCAGAAACACGGCTACAATTAAATCAGCAAAATAACGCATTTTCCAGAACATTATAGTGGTCAAATTTAAAAAACACCTAAGCATTCGATGATCGAGACACTTCAATTGTAACCCCTTGTATATTACGATTTGAAAGAAAATTACGTGCAGAGCAAAAAATCTTATACCCGTAACCACTTTAGAATAATTGACCCGAGAGATACAACACATTAATATAAGTTATTAGACGCTCGATAAAAAAGCAACAACTTCTGACAACTCAAACTCAAACAATGGAATATAATGTAAGATATAAGATATTGTTCCCTTTGTTCTGTATAACAGATTGTATCTTTTTAGAGATTGAAAGCAATATATTGATCATCATTCTTTTCTTTGTAGGTTTAATTAGTTTCTAAAATTTATTGTTAATTTTTTGCGTATTATTTATCAGGGATAAGGCAGTTGACATGGAAAGCTTTATGCTTTGCATCTCTGTTATTGATATACTTTTGTATCGTTTTTCTACGCGAAACTAAACCACCTTTTGATTATTTGAGGTGTCCATAGAAAAATAAGTGGAAACGAATTTTGGTACATTGAGAAACACTGAATTTTAAAGAAGAGCGGCAGCGATAGCCAAGGTCCGGATCGGTGGCGCAAAACCTGCAAAACAATAAACAGTGGCGTAACATTGCTTACTGTATCAATAATGATATCATTAATATCCAATATCTACAATAACGATGTGATTTTTTAACCTGACCACTGCGCAAACAAACGGCTCGCCAACTTACTGTACATTCGTAGAGTTTCGAACCCTTTCGTTTTTTACGACCAATAACACAAGGGAAAACTTTTAAAGAAGAAGCATACGAGGAGCTCAGTTTCTGGAAGCACTGTCACGATACTTCCACAGGGAAATTGAGAATGTACTAATCGAATCTACAGCGAACACAACGCAAATGGACATCACATTAGAGCAAATGTAGGTTCCACATCAAGAAGGGAGGCAGCTGCTGGGAGAAGCCAAGAAATAAGAAGGGAAAAAGAAAAACTGGCAGTAGAAGATAAATTAATTTTGTACGCGGCGATTAAAACAATTGGAGTGATTGAGCAAGTTATGAGTAGGAATTATGACGAAAGAAAAGGATATGGTTCACTACATCTTAAAAACTATGAAGAGATCAGGAGCTCCACTCTAGATACAAAGAATTCAAAAACAAACAAACGAATTTAATCAACTGTATTAAAAATAATTAATTAAAAAAATCTGGAAGAACACAAAAGATAAAAGAACAACAAGAAGATGGGAAAGTAGGTAGAAGTAGTACAAATAAAAAAATGAAGAAATGAAAGAAACTTACAATAAAAAAGAAGAAAATGTAAGGAATTTAATTGAACGGTTAAAACAACTTAAGAAAAAAAAAAAAGAATAATGAAGAGTCAACCGATCGGTATAGGAGTTTAGAGAGCGTAAGAGAGCAAGCTAAAGGGGTTAGTATCTTACAAAAGAATTGGAAGAAATTTAGCAAGGAAAATCAATTGTGTTTATTATGTCAATAGCTGAAAGAAGAGAAACCGATAGAAATCCAAAAGAAGTTAGAATTCGCTGAGCAAAAGTCATTATAAGAGTTTAAATGACCAGAAAGAGAGGTAAAGAGTTTCATTGTCAAGGTACAGGGTACAGGTTATTGTATATGCCATTGTTTTCCTCCTTCTACAAGATACGGTCCACCGTATATGTTTATCTTATGTTTTTGTATTTTGTATGTAATTAACATCATATTGTGAATAGGGCACATGGGTGATGGCTCGATTTTTTAATCTTTATCTTTTGGCTTTATTGCTGAATTTGGATGAGGTCAAAATTTAAAGGTTAGGATTTGGTTTGTTTGGTCAGTTTCCTTTGAAAAATAGTTTGAAAAAAAAGCTCCAGTCTCTGGTTTCTTGTTTTTCAAATTTCGTGAGGTTTTCTTAGCTTCAAAAGACATAAGGGGATACTGTAGCGGTAGCTTGCTTTTCAGTCTGAAATTTTTCGAATTCGCGGGTAGGGGAATGAAATACGGATAGATTATTGGATTACAGAGCACGCCATCGTGGGAATTGCGTTAGGACCGTTTTGTCTGCGTACTTTAAAGACTTGATTATACACTTGTCTCTTAATATACTATTTTCTTATGAAAATGACGAATTATATAAGGTGGTTTCATTCTGAAATGACAGCCAAGTATTTATACTGCAATTAAGTGAAACAAGTTATACGCGTTATAGTTGGACAAATTACCTCAGGGACATTAAAATTAAATATGTGGAATGAAATAAAGAACGACGAAGAATGAATTACCACGACTATGAGGATCATGTATGAAACTGCTTTGTATTGATTGGACCATGTACTTTATTTATGGCATTTATTTTGTGGCAAGAGTGTTAGATCTTTGGATTCATTCTAATATTGCAGGAAAATGTACGATTTGCATGTAGGATTAGTACAACTTACTATTGACCCGCTTTATAGTAGCACTACTTCCTACGTAAGCGCCAACACCTGCAATACCTTACATTTATGCATAAAGCGTGCCACTTGTGCTATCGCTTACTCCTATCATTGTTCTGTAGACCAGATAGATTGAAAGCTTCACATTGGAAGGCTTATCCAAAGTCTTTGAGCGGAGTAACGCTACGTATCGATTCCTCGTTTAAAAGAGTTCGCCAACCTTTCGACAGAAAACGTACATCTCTATTGTGCAATTTTACTACAAGTGTTTACAAAGAGCGTTAATATATAAGGGAGTAAAAGCAATAAAACCAACTGGAGCGCCTTGTTCAATAAATGACGTAGAAGAACAGCGATCTTGAAATGAAATCACTTCAAATGAAGTAAGAAACGATGCAGTGCCTTAATTAAATTTTCGTTAAGAAATAAATTAGCAACTGTTGCGTTTCTCAAGTTTGTAAATTTGCGATACAAATTGCTATTTAACCATTGACAAATGAAACTTGTAATCTCTAGACATTATTTCCCAAGGTACGATTTCTAACTGCTAACACTGGGAGTGTGTTCTTTGTTTACTACCCCCGTCCTAAGCTGCATTGCATAAAAAGTATACACACAGTTGACTTTTACGACAGATATCGTATATTCTGCGTTTCACTTTTGACGCTTTTCCATACAGTAACGCATGACGTTGGTTTCTATAACATTGATTTACATTCTATCAAAACTACGCTGGCGTCACCCCTCCGCTCAACTCATTTTGAATGAGACTTCTACATGTTTAGAATATACTTGATCCATATGTTGGCCGTAGATATTGTGCGAGGGATGTTAAGAAGGATTGAATTCCACAGTGCGGATGCCGTTGGGGGATTGCGGTTATTTTCCCCAGTTTTTTGACTGAGGTAATCTGATTTAGTTCGAAATTTAAAGTTGCTCTTCGATATTGAAATTCCTAAAATTTAAATTAACTCGCAAAGCTTTCCTGTTAACATTTGAAAAAATGGGTCCTATAATACCAATAAAATCAAGGTACACTGTTAATAAATTCAAAGATAAACGTAACAACGGTTTAATTCGTATATTCACCTTTGAATTTGTATATCGTATCGAGACTGAAAACTGAGTCGCCAAGTTTATATGTTACAATTATTTTCGAATATTTAACCCTAATAAACTAGATGAAATTCTGAAGAGTTACCTAATTATTACGGTGGCGTGACTCATTCAAAAAATAATCTAGAATAACTTCCACATAATCCTAATGGTGTGCTCGCCAATGACCATTAATTACTTTTTTATAAGACATATTGCAGCACGAGTACGTTACTAATCGATATCGACTGTTTTGATGTAGTAATTTAAATTAATTAACTAAACCCTCAAATACACAAAACACCTTTGCTATTTAACCCAAACAGCACAAGAAGTTATGCCGTAATTATCAAAGCGAGTTTCTTCTAATATAGATAGGTACAGTATATGCATCGCACTTAGAAATGTAAATTTGCTATACGTGTCAATTCTAATTGCTAACTCACATTTACCTCAAATTAAATTTGGATAGTTATGTAGCCGTAACGATACCGGAAAATGTAGGTAATATCTCAATATTTGATTAACACGGCGAGCTTGATAGCGACAATGTTAAAGGAAGTAATTGGTATCAAAAGTTAGTTGTCATAGACAGGGAATTACAGTTTCTGTAACTCGATTTTCGCGCAAATGAGAAAACTGCGATGCAGCGAGATGAAGTGGATTAATTAAAGGCGCAATTTACTTTTACATTATAAATCATTATTCATTTCTTGAGGAGACTAAATCGACAGTGATACTTTATTATGAAGGAGACGACGCCATGATCTTATTTGCATGCAATTACGTGTCTACATTTCTTACCGCTCAGTTGGATATTGCAATCCGTAATTAATCACTATTGTGTTAATCTTCACGACTTACCTGAAACAAAAATTAGATTAGAAATTGGACTTTTTTAAATATAGGTAATCATTACTCAAATCGGTTGACTTGGGCCGAGGTTATACCGTTTGATATTTATCCCTAGGCTTTAATGAACATTAATGCTCAGCTAATCAAAGTCCAACTTGATTAGGGAACGTGATTGATTGCTCCATATCTTGCGTGATAGAGTAGTTGGTAATACGATTTTAACTATTTTTAATTAAAGTAAACCACTTCCATAAACATTTTCGTGAAAAGATTATGCCACAAAAAATTTGCTTACGTCTTTTCTCCTTATGGCACATTGTGAACATGCAACGTAACTGGAAATTTATAACTGTGTGGTACACATCCAAAATTATTTCTCAATCTCTCAATCTCAATCAATGCCACCGCAATTCGCAATGAAAAGAAATGCTACTTAACCCAAGTAGTAAAAAGCTGCAATGCTAAACAACTTTGGAAGAAGCTGAATCAACTCCAATTATTGAGCAAGAAGAATAATTATATTCCTACAAATTTTGCAGATGCAGATGAAATTAATATGTATTTTTCTTCAACGCAACGCAGTTGCATACCTGATTTGGAACTCTTGGATTACTATAGCAGTAATAAATTTAACCCAAATAGTTGTTTCACTCTTTCCGAAGTTTTGGAGGAAGATATTACCAAAATATTATTTAAAGTGGCATCTAATGCTACTGGCGTGGACGGCATCAGTATAATTATGTTAAAACATTGTTGCCCTTTTCTAACTCCATATATAACTCATATTATAAACTATTGCATAAAATCTTATTCCGTACCTTCTGTGTAGAAGTGTTCTCTTCTTAAACCTATTGCGAAAGTGGCATCACCTAGTGGTATATCCGACCTTCGTCCTATAAGTATATTACCTGCCCTCTCAAAATTACTGGAAAAAGTTATTGTTGCGCAGTTGACTGACTATATTAATCAACTTCATGTCCTCCCCGCTACGCAATCTGGATTTCGTGCTGGGTATGGTTGCCCTGGAGCACTTCTCGATATTGTTGATGATATATTAAAAGCTGTGGATCAAGGTAACTGTTTATTATTAGCGCTTCTTGACTATTCAAAGGCATTCGACACTGTGAATCATTCTCTGCTTGTGTCCATTTTAGGTTACCTAGGTCTTAACGCTGAAGCAGTTGCATTTTTTCGTAGCTATTTATGTAATAGAAAACAGATCGTGTGCATGGGAAATAATCAATCAAGTCCTGTTACAGTACAGTCGGGAGTGCCTCAGGGTTCCATACTCGGTCCCCTACTTTTTACGATTTACACCGCGTTTTTATATAAGGACATAAAGCATACCAAAGTCCATATTTTTGCAGATGATACTCAGATCTATATCTCATTCCCTAAAAGTGAATTTCAAAGCGCAGTAAACAATCTAAATCTGGACCTCCAACAATTGTCAACAAATTCTAATAAATATAATCTTACCTTAAACTCTAATAAATGTAAAGTTATGCTATTTGGGAGTAAGAGGAATAGACTACAGTTAATAAATCTCACTCGAGTATCCATGAACGGTACAATACTCCCACTTGTGGATAGTGCTAAAAATCTTGGGCTCATTATGGATTCAGATTTGCGATTTAAGTTGCATATCTCAAAATTAATGCAAAAATCATATTTTACGCTGAAATTGTTGTATTCTCATAGGCATTCATTAAATCAACATTTAAAAAAGTTGCTTTGCGATACTCTCATTTTATCGAATTTTAATTATTGTGATGTCGTCTACAGTTCAAATTTGGATTCCTGCGAAATAAGACGAATTCAAATCGTTCAAAACTCCTGTCTTAGGTTTATATTTGGCGTCAGAAGAAGGGAAGGAATTTCCCATTACATTAGTAAGGCAGGTTGGTTGAAAATGGAAGATCGAAGGAAGCTGCATTGCTACTGCACTTTTTATAAAATAGTTGTCAATAAATGCCCACAATTTCTCGTTAACAAAATACGGTTCAGAACTGACACTCATAATATTAATATACGAAGAAAGGATTTACTTATTACAATCCCTAAGCACAATCTTCAGTTATATAAAAGGTCCTTCTCTTATTTAATAGCTTTTTATCTAAACAAACTAAAAATTAACTTTTCATCTATGTCGCTAGCACAGTTCAAAACCTTAATTAAAAATAAGCTTTATTCTGGTGAAGTGTAATACCTATAATTAATGTACATTTGTACCATCTTACTCAATTGAAATCATTGACTTATAACTTTCTCTCCTTTTCACAATTTAATGGATGTAGGTAGATTTCCACGACTGAAGTATACCTCTCTATGGCGTATTGGGGCTGAGTGGTAGACCAGATGGTTAATATTTTTGACCAATCTGAATCTTAACCCCTTGGGGAAAACTGGAAGGACTAAGAAATTGTAATGATCATGTACCTGATGATGTATTCCATGTTAAACCCAATAAACGATTTATTATATTATTATTATTATTATCTAATATAATTCTGTAGAACGTGTTTTTTCTCCATTACGAAGGACTATTTTGCACGCTATTATTACTTGTTGGAGAACCCCCGTAACATCTAAAGCGGTTTCGTAGAATGCTCCACCTATCGATGCAATTTTTATCCATGCACAGCCCTTTTTGTTTCTTGAATCATTCAAGTAGTAGGCCATGGAAACAACATTGATACATGAATGTCGCATAATAATAATAAAATTACATACGATTATTTTTACCACTTTTTCTTTTAACTTGAACTATACTAAATTTTTTCTAAAGTCTATAAGTTATAGACACACAAGGAGAAATAAAAAAATTGTTTTTACAAGATATCTAGTTAGCCATACATTTTATCAAACAAAAGTCTCTTACGTTTTATTTAAATTCGAAGTAAATTTTCATAATCCCGATAAGCCCCTTTAAAAAGGTAAGTTATTCCTGTAGTAAATTTGTTATTATCTTAGTTCTTTATTTTTGCCACTGTAGGCCATCTAAGTGTGATAGATGTTTTATTACAATAGTTCTTTGCTTCGCCATCCGGGATCGTGCAGATGTTTTCAATGGTATTCCTAATCGCGTCCCTTCTTTTCTTTCTGCTTACGCGTTCGCTGTACTTCTTCCTTTCCAGTAAAGATTTTTCCTCAATATTGGTTGGTTGCAAATTATTCCTCTTGGTACGCCATTACTTTTCTATTGACTTTCGTCTTCCTGGATAAGTGCTTAATAGTTTTGGCCGTTGCTTCATGCTTGCATCCCGTTGTTAATGTGCAGCATAAAAATGATAATAATAATAATAATGATAATAGTACCGTTTATTCCATGAGACTTGTATACAAGCATTGGAACGTCAAAATTATAAATTACAAATTATATAATTAAGTATAAATTATAAATAAGTAAAAAATAAATAAAAATACACTACCTACACGTTACATTACATACCTGCAACAATTTTACTGTTCAAGTATTCGTCTAACCTATAAATGCACATCTTTACCAACATGTTTTTTTATAGTTTGTTTAAACCTAGATGGATTATGGATACATTTTACGTTTTGCGGTAGTTTGTTCCAAAGTTTAATGGCAATGGCGGGAAAATGATGCAAAATTCATACAACATTGCGATGCATGTATTTTTTAATGCATGTTTGTTGAGTATATTTTAAGAAAAAAAAGTCAATTTTTCTACTTAACCATGAATCGCACTGGCGACATACCTAGAGACTTGAAAATAATTTCCGGTGATTTCTCTTGACCTATATTATATAAATGGGGACACCCCGATTTTTCCACGTTCGTGGAGCGGCAAAAGGACTGCATGGACCAGCTAGAGAAGACGTCCAAGTTCTGAAGGGCGCGCACTCCGCAACCTCTTTGTTTTGATAGTAGAATGTACGCCTTTGGGACGAACTGGCGACGTTGCTGCGAAAGGTGAAAAATGTCAGATTGGAAAACGAAGATCTGCATGAGAAGCAAAAGTCTTTGCTGATCAAGTCGTTGTTCAATCGGCTCGAAAATGAGACCAAAACGGAATCAGACATGAAAACATGTGAATGTCGATTGTGAAATCGCCCATGAAGTTTCAATAATTCATGTGATGAGGTATTTAAATATTCGCAATTGAATAATAATAATAATAATAATAATAATAATAATAATAATAATAATAATAATTCCCAAGCAACTTCACAAATACAACCTCAAGAACAAAGAAACATCATAAAAACAAGTAACGCAACATGCACTACAAAGACAGGTCCACCCAATAAAGTTACACGCCCTAGCACAATTAAAAAACACATAACTCCTTCTTCACCGAAGCACACCACGTTATCACAACCCACTCGTATTCAACCCAAACGCAAAAAACTATACAGCACTACTAGCTCACAAAATACTCTCCATCAATAACCCAAGCAACCTCACAAATACAACCTCAAGAACAAAGAAACACCATAAACACAAGTAACGCAACATGTANGACAGGTCTACCCAATAAAGTTACACGTCCTAGCACACTTAAAAAACACATAACTCCTTCTTCACAGAAACACACCACGTTATCACAACCCACTCGTATTCAACCGAAGCGCAAAAACCTTAACAGCACCACAGGCTCACAAAATACTGCAATATCTCCACCAAAAACCCAAACAACCTCACAAATACGACCTCAGGAACAAAGAAACACCATAAATACAATAAAAAAACACAAAACTCCTTCTTCACATAAACACACCACGTTATCACAACCCCTCGTATTCAACCCAAACGCAAAGCCAAAGAAACACTTACAGAATAAACTCCATTTAATAAAATTACAGGACTTATTATAATGATTTTTTTTGTTTTGTTTTGTTTTCCTCTTTCCTGATAGCGTTGGCTATTGTGCCCATCAATAGGTATGTTGGTAAGTACGAATTACATTATCCCTAGATGTCCAATGTACGTGTGTGGATTTTTTATTTTATTTTATTTTATTTTATTTTTTTTTTTTTAAGGACCCTACATAACTTCACCAGACACAGACACAGACACTAATCGTTACTTGATTTTAATCCGTGCGATTAGTTAACCAGGCTAGACCTGAGTTCTCACAAGAAACACCGACAATAATAATAATAATAATGATTTATTCCCTACTTCTATACAAACCAATAAACTACAGTATAAACAAAATTATA